TGCAACAGGAGAGAAAGCCAGGACAAAGAGGCAGAAATGTTTAAAATGATTACTTCGACAATTTTGAATTTAACGACAGAATCATCAGTTGGCAGTGGAACACCCATACGAACTGGTTCATTTGAGATCGCATAAACATCCTTGCCAAGAGCATTCTCTTCCACGGTCACATTATACACCGGCCACGTGAACTGAAACCACTTTCACATACACATGTGCTTTTTGATGGCCCATTTTGAAGCAAACATTTTTTATTTCAAATACCATAGTTGTGAGAACTAGACACGAACGCTTCACTATAATCTTTGATATTTGTATGCTTAACTAGTTTTATCAGTTAGAATGCGAAAATTGCATATACATGTGCGTCTATGGCACTGTAAAAGTATATAGTTTGAACAGATGATTTTAAACAGTAGCCTTCGCGGCACAGTGTTTTCTTGATATATACTCCGAGTGCCTCCACACTGTCTAGTCTGTTGCCACTTTCAAATCACTACGAGTGCCTAAATCGGAATTATGGGGGAGCGTAAACTTTTACAGGCAAAGAAAAATTTTAGATAATAAAGCAAATTTATTGCATAATACTAATGTACGGTGGTGATGAATAGACAGGAAAAATAGTATTTTTTAACTGACAGAGTCTAAGCTGAAACTAGCTTTTACGGAAGTTTTCAAACCTGGAAGATATATGTGTCTCGATTCTGATCCCGTGCGATGACTGAAAATTCATAGCCAAGCAGTAATATAGTCTGAAGGAGCAAATGGCAGTTAGCCATTTGACTCCAATTTCGACAGTTTATCAGGCTCTGTTAGCAGGAATGTTATACAGGCGTCTTGAAAAATAACAACGGCAGTGGTACTCGAGGATATACTGGCAGCGCGGATATTCATTGACAGTGCTGAGGTAGGTGCTCTCGAAGCAACTGGATTAGCAGTGCTACCAGCCGAGGCCCGTTGCATTCGCTAATGAATAACAGTCCGCAAAAACACAAGGCATAGTTGAGTTTGAAGAGGAAAGCACTTAGACATGGACAGCTTCAAACGCCTTTACTGCAAATACGAAAACTTCTAGGCAAATAAATTGTTCGACAAATTTTCGTAACAAATGCGCACGAGTCTGAAGTAAGCAGCCCCCTCCCTCCCGTATCTCCGTGAAGTACCTAGTGCTGCTTTTTTAATGAACATTGCAGCTCGCACCCCAAGCAGACACTCAAATCCCGTACTATTATGCATTTTTTAATGCGTTTTTTCATATGTGCAAATTGCAAAAACACATATTGGGAAGAGGCTGTGTGTGTGTGTTTGCACTTTTTGTCACCCACTTTCAACTCGAGAACCA